AGCATGCCAGAGTTCAAGAAGTGCTTGGCCAAAGCTCTTGGGCACAATATATGATTGTTGGGGCGTGCAGGACTGGGGGTTGGACACGATAATCCTTGTGGTTCCTTTACAAATGAGGGTATTGCATGATTCTCTGATAACCCTACCGAACGGGGGTGAAGGTAGACATGGGGGTTCTGGGAATCCTGCAGGCAAAGGGGGGATCCCATGCTGACGGCTTCCCCACTTGTCGGCACGTTTGTTCCCCCGCCAAGGACGCGGGTATGTGGGGCCGGCAGCCGGGCTGTGACCCACGGGCAGGCACCGGCAGCCGGGCTGTGACCCACGGGCAGGCACCGGCAGCCGGGCTGTGACCCACGGGCAGGCACCGGCGGCTTGGCCGGGGCCGCTGCCGGGCTCAGGTGCCGCTAGAGGGACCCGCCCGCCCGGGAAAGGCTCCGCGGCCCGGCACATCCCCGGCACATCCCCGGCACATTCCCGGCCCTGCAGCGAGCCTCCCGCGGCTCCAGGGCCGGGCACGGCCACAACAGCCCCAAATCCCGTCCCTGCTGTTCCACCCCGCTGTGCGCTCCCGGTTTCTCAGCCGCCGGGGAGGGCTGGGGTTATCCCTCACGAAGTGTCCGGGGGTGAGGTACAGCTGCTCTGTCCCCTGAGAGCCTCGCCTTCCTCCTCCTCCCGTCTCATCTGGGCTGTGTTTCCCTGTCTGCACCTGAGTCAATAATCCCTTGCTCCTCTTTGGTTTTCTCTGTATAGCTGGAAATGAGAGAAGGCAAATCAGGTTATCGTTTCACAGCCTTCCGTGTTCTCCTGAAGGATCTTTAAATGACAGCTCTTTACCCAACTATACAAAATAAGTCAAACCTGCTACTGAAATAACTTCCTCCCTCACAGTGTGTGTGTGTGTTGTGGAGTGGGGTGAATAGAAAAGGTAGTTCGGAGGACTGTCACTTGATTTATTTTCTCTTAAATCTAGGCTGCTTCCTTCTATTTCTATTTTATGCGCTATTTGCAGGTTTAGAGCTTAGAGGGTGTTTCAGTTGCTTTTTGTTATTCTTCTCCAGCCAAGTGAAAGAGAGGAGTGCCGGAGAAAATTGTTATGGAGTGCTTTAACACCATGTTCAGTGAGCTGGAGACACAGGCGAGGGCCGGGCTGGGGAGGATTGGCATACACTGGGGTATTTAACTAAGAAGAGCAGGAAACATGGTAGTGGTTTGGCTGTGAAAGTTGTACTTCTGAAATATAAAGCAAGCTGAGCATTTATCCCTGTCTAAAGCAAGGGACAAAGCCCCAGTTCTGCTCTCCAGGTACTTGAGGTGTTTTTTGAGAAGGTGGGAGGGCGTTGGAATGTAGATAAGATTTGAAGATATCCTTTCTTACTATTAATGTGGGTTTTTTTTTTTTTTTTTCCTCTGATGTTTGTACCTGTCAAGATCTCAGTACTTGAAGTTCCCCAGCCTCACTGGCTGAGCACGGCTGGTGCTGACCAGCGTTGTCACAGCAGTTTTGGAGAAGGACCACGTGTGCTGAGCTGTGCAGTGCTGCACTGACCCTGTGTGGGATGGAGGTGGCAAAACCACCTCCTCTCCCTCTCTCAGCTCCAGGAGGTGCCAGGCAGCTCCGAAGTGAACTGGCACTTCTGTTAGCTGGATCTGAGCTGTGATGAGTTCAAGTGAGTTTATTTCAAGGCTGCCAGGCCCTATAAGGAGAAAGCTGTTTAGTCTTTCTCCTTGTTCTCTTCCTCCTTCCCCTTTCCTGATTTGCTTTGCTCCACAGCTCTCATTTTCATCCCTCAGACAGTAGCATGTGATTCCTTGCGCAGTTAAAAACGGATTCCTGTTCTCCCTTCCCCTCCTTTCCCCTCCACTCCAGGACCTCAGGATGAGGTGCTGGCTGCCTTCTTCCCTTAGCTTTTGGTTTTCTGACTATAAAAATAAGACCTACCTGAGATAACTAATTAATTAATTAGTGTTTCTTCCACACTTCGAAAACCAGATGAAAGAGATAGTTGTCAAAATGGAGGAGAGCATCAATGAAAGAGGTTTGAAACAGTCCAATAGTAACATATATTTATGTGTGTGAAAAATAAAGTCCTGCTTATCTGTTATGGATATATCTTGCTTGGAAAAGTGTTTTGGGTTCAAAATGACTGTATTTAATAGCTGTTAAAGTAGATTTGGAAGACAAATCCCCAACATGAAAACATGTAGCTTGAATTTCTCTTACCTTAAATTTCAGCATTTTTGCATACATCTAAGCTGATGGATCACCTCAAGCTTCAGAGGTGAACTTTTTGATGACAGAGGATGCAAGACCAGAGCTGTTGAGATAATTCAACACTGTTTTGCTAATCACTGGCATTCTCCTTGAAGGGATCTCTTTTTGTGTCTGGCTGGGGAGCAGTGCTGCTCTGTGTTGAGCCCACCTGGCCATGAGTCAGTTCAGCCTGTCTCCAAAGTAGTAGATGAATGTAAAAGATTTTTTGTTTTTCCTGTGGATGCAGGCACAGCTTTGCTGCTATTGGTTAGTGGAGTGTGTTTGTGGGGCAGCTGTCTTCCAGTTACTGCCAGACTAGAAACATCTGGGGTGTAAACCGGCTGATTCCTTATTTTGTGGCTGTGGACTGTTTCATGCAGCTTTGTACTGTGAAAGATAGGAAACCAGGCTTAGCCAAGAGCAAGTTGCTTAGCAGACGCTTGCTGTCATACAAATTAACCACAGCTTTTGCATCTTGGAGTGCTGCCAGAGCACAGAACCAGCTATTGCATTAAATGTCTACCACCAGTCATGATCTAAACCGAAAGTGAGAAGATTAATCCCTCTTCTAGCATTACCTTAGCAGTTAGTGCTTTTTGTGGTGTTAAACATGTTTTTCATCTTTAAACCCAAACCATGAAATACAGCTCTGTGTTTCAGAAAAAATAAGTGTACAGGAAGAAAGGAAAAGTCTTAATTTACTGAGGGGAAAATATCATCCATATATAGGAGGTATCTTGCTTTAAAGTAAAAAGAGAGGCTAATTTTTGTTAGTGCTGCTCATCTGGTGCATAGCAATGAATACCTTCAAAACTATATTTTAAATAATTTTAGGCCTATATTATATATATAATATAGTATTATATTATAAATAAGAGTAGATACAATTGGTTTGAGCTATTAGTGGATTAAAAGCAGTAGTATTTGATAAGCAGCATCTCTGACTGTACACAGCCCCAACCAAGATTTTAAATTCATAATTATACTAATGTACTTTGACTAATGAAAGACAGTACTTTTTTTCCTTGCATGAAAATATTCCCTTCTGAAATTTTCCTGAGTTGCAGAGTTCTTACTTAAGAAGTAACTCACTTGACTGTGAAGTAAACAACTGAAATTTATGAAACTCATACTTTGGTAAGCTAGGATAGAAAGTGAGGATATAAAGTTGCTTTCAGTCACTGGTGTTCATTACGTGTGGGGGATTTGCACCAGAAGGTCTGTTTTGAATTTGGCTGGTAACCTTGGCAGTTCATAGCCCTTGCTGCTGACTTCTGTTTGTTCTGTTCTCTGTAATCTGTCCTCTTAGCCAAGATAAGTATCATCAAAGATTTTATTTTTTGGATTTACTTTATGGTGGCTAGAAACACTAAATCACAAAACCATTTATGATTTTTTAAGAGGTATAGCTTTCCTGGTTGAGAAGTAAAGTAAGAAATTTGATCCTGGTTCTCCAGAAGACAATGAAAGATCTGGAAAAAAAATGTATTTAATAATTTCAGGATTTCACAGGGGAGGAGATATCAGTATCTTGCTAGTAATTTTTAGCAGTTCTGCTATTGGTAGTACTGTCTGTGTAGTAGGACTGACATAAGTGTTAAGATTCTTCTTAATCTTTACAGGGCTGCTACAAGGGTTTCCTCTCACTTTCTTGCAGGATTTACTCTTTGGTGTGCAGAGTTATAAAGAACCCTTTTTGGGTTTTTTTTTTTTGTTTTGTTTTGTTTGCAGCAGCAGCTACAGCAGTGATTTTCTGTTTCTCTTTTGCGAGGGGAATCTGACATGCAAAGGTTGAGTAGTAATGTGTACTTGCCTAGAAATAATGTGCTGAGTTTGTAGCTACTGGAGAAAATAATTTGGCGCGGAGCTATTTCTGTGCACCTCCCCAGCACGGAGAACAATCAGGCTCCAGCTGAATACAGCGACTGCCAAAAGCACATTTGGATGAGGTGGGTGTTTCTGGGTGGTACAGTCATGTGTTAACAAGTGTGACTGCATCACTAAAACAAATGTGATTTTGAGTCCCCAAGCTCTTTGTAGGGGTATGCAATCCTCAGGAGGAAAGGACACCAATAAAGCATCTGGCAGGGAGGAAAGGCAAAGAAATGAGTACAGCACAATGAGGTGTATCTAACTGTTTGTTGCTTGTAAAAACCATCCACCTGAGCTGGATATCGTGTTCATGGCTACTTCAGGAACAATTCTCTGTGAAAGAAGTGGGACTGGGTCAGCTGTTCCAAATCCAGTCCTCTGGGTGTTTGAAGAAATCTAAACTGATGGGTGGGCAGCAAACAGCAATGGGGAGGGTAGTCGCAGCAGGGATAGGAACCTAGGAAGCTTTGTGCAAACTCGGGAGGACACGTAAACCCTTTCCCTGAAATATACTCACAGACTCTTCTGACGGAGGTGGGAAACCAGACACTTGTTTTTTCTCTTTGCTGAGACTGAACTCTCTCAGGGCATAGAGCTACTTGCAAAAAATTGTAGCTTTGGTGCGTAAAATAGTACTCCTTGAACCTGGTGCTAAAGTCCAGTGTACTTCATGGGGAGGGAAAGCAGAATCATGCAGACATCTTAATATCTATCAATTTTGAAAGGGGAATTCTTGGTTTTTTTTCTGGATGCATCACATGCATGGGTAAATGCTAGAGATGAAATGAAACTGTGTGGTGCTGTGTGGGGAAGTGTTTGGCACAGTGGGTTCTGTAAGGGAACGAGTGATGAGTCGCAGTCAGACACCAAGAAATGATGGTCCACAAGCCGCAAGTGCTTTTAATGGAATAACTTCCCACTTGTTTGATCAGATTTCTTGTTGTTGCCTCTCCCACCTCTGTGTTGAAGGGTGAGCAGATACAGCTCGGTGAAAACGATACAAAAGAAACCACCCTGCATCTTGAGAAATGTTTAGCAGCTTAATTAGTTTCAGAGTATAATACTGTTAACAGTGCATAAATGACAGCTATTTTCTGTTTATCTACATATGGTTCCTTCTTTGATCTTCACTCATTATTATTTAAATGAGTATTTTAAGTATCTTTTCTCCTGAAAAGCAGCCCCTATTTTTCCTTCCAATTTGATTTTACAAGGTATTGTCAAACATCTTACAAGTAAGAGGATAAACAATATAGTCTGTACTCCAGCAGCCATAAAGGGAGAGGTGGGGGGAGAGGAATGGATTCCACCAAGACACCCAGGTTTATGACTCAGGAAATGTGGGAAACAGGTCTTCAAGAGTGAATGATTTTGTGGGGTTTTCTGTGCTGCCTCCTGCTAATCTGCTAATCCTTTTGGAAAGCTAAAATTCATGGCTCTTTCTGGAGACAGCAGAGCACAGCTGATGCTGAGAGCAATTTTTTCTCTCTGCATAATGCAGGCAGTGCTGAGGTCACGGGGGCTGCAGAGGCTGTGCTCTGACTGCAATGGTAATAAAGTATGCTGGCTTGCACTGAGCATGAGCCAATTCCGCTCTGTCGCATCCCAGTATCTTCAAAATTTAGCTGTGCCACTGCTGTGCTGAGCTCCATGGTATGACAAGTGAGCTTTCCATTAGATTCCTGGCTGTGTTAAAATCAACAACCAAGCAAATGCGCTGTTTCCGCTAATTCTGAATAGCATTTCATTTGGACCTTGATGTAAAAGCAGAATACAGTAAGTTGCAAGTAACAGAAACAAATTAGTCCAGTATCTCAAGTTTCAAACCTTGTCATCTTGCGGGAAACCCTTTTGGCAGCTGTTGTGTTAGCTGGTAGCCAGTGGGGAAAATACAGAAATTATTACAAACTCCAGAGTTTGTAATACAGAGGAGGGAGAGGGGGAGAGACAAATGACAGTGTTGACTTTTTTCCTGTGTTTTTCTTTTTTTGTCTAATACAAACCACTGAAAGTCTCTTGGAAGAACAATTGTAAAGGCCAGTGACACCTTTCCCCAGCTAAAGGTGACCATGGTGCTGTCATTTCTCAGTTCCTTTGTGACGTCCCTAGACTGGTGGCCCAGGTGCCAAACTGGAGAACCTTTGCAGGAGGTTGCTGCTGTAGGGTTTGTAATCCCTGTAAGGAGCCTCAAGTACCTGTTCCTGTGAAGCAGCACTGAATGTCTGACAAAGAATTTGAATCTGGGCTCTTAGTGACACAGCCTGAATCTGTTCATCCTGAAAAGTGCAAAACCTGGGCTTTGGTGTGGCTCTTAACAATTTAATGGCTCGGCATCTAGAATGTGTCAGTCAGGATTGTCCAAGCTGCCATCTTTCAGGCCTTGGGAGGGATTTGTTCATAGAGGTCATCTTTGACTAAATAAGTTAGGGTGGGCTGGAGTTCCTTTTTAACTCTTCTGGGAATGGGGATATGGATGGGTGCTATGGGGACAGGAGGGGTTTAGAGGTGAGCTTCTCAGTGAGTGCTCCACAGGATCCCCTGCCCAGGTGTGCAGGGCATACTGAGGTCACTCCCTCTTCTCCTGCTGCAGAAGGTGCTGCACAGCCTTTTCCAGAGACCCATGCTGCCAGCACTGTTGTGCTTTCTCACTTGCTTGGAGAGGGAGCACAGCCCTGGTGCATGGGGCAGTTGAGAAGAGGCTCAGGGCCATCAGGCTTCTGAGGATGGAGGGCTGAGCTGGGGCTGTAAGCTCCAGTTCTTCAAACCTCACTAAGCCACCCTCTGTCAGAAGTGCTCAGCCCTGGCATGAGCTGTGGCTGGTTTGGTGCTGCAGATCACAGGCTCTGTGCCTGGCCAGGTGTGAGGACATGGAGAAAGGAGTGCCTCCTTGTTTCCTGCTTCTCTCCCTTCTAATATCTCCACAAGGAGAACCAGCTGCTCTTTAAGAGCCTTCCCTTTCCCATGGAAGTGGTGTCTCTGAGCACCAGGCACTCCGTGTACCCAGCTCACTGGAGGTGCCCCAGATTGTTGGCTATTTCCCTTGGGCTTATGCTCACATCTGCTGTGGGTGTGCCATGGCAGAGGGCTCCCAACACTGGCTTGCTATAAAACTGGTAACCCATGAGAGCCCTGTGCCTGCTACTGGAGTGCTGTGTAACACAGGGAAGTCCACCTATGGGACAAGGCAGGGCTACAGCTCACTGGCTTAGGATGACTGTAGATATATTTAAAGCTACTACCCTTGACTGTGAATGGCTTGGCTCTATGCTGTGCCTGATTGTTAAAATCATGTTGTCATTCTATGATGTATTTTCTATCTTATATCAGTAGGGTTTAAAATGTGTGTGTTGTTTTACTTAACATTTCATCGATGACGGAGGGTTACTTTTAAAAAAGTTTTGTTTCCTCCTCTATTTCAAGTGCATATTTCCTTCATTTTTAAGGTAATACCTTATGCTTCAAGCTAGGCAGCTGTGCAAATCCCAGCTGGATCACAGCTACCCCTTTTTCTAGAGCAAAACCAATCCCAGATGATCCATCTCTTTAAAACTTGGGCATAATGCTCCCAATATTACCTATACAAAAGAAGTCATTATAATGTAAATGCAGAGTCCTGGTGCTTTGCCTCAAATACAACAAATGCCATCTCAGTTATACAAATTTATACAGGTTAAAAAATAATGACTGTGTTCTCCTCATATGAACAAAAGCTCTTAAAGGTATTGCCCACACCGTACAAGCTTCTGGAAGGCTTTCTTGAAATCTTCATTAAAGATTGTGTAGATTAAAGGGTTAATAAGGGAGTTTATATATCCCAGCCATGCTAGGAAATTAGACATGTCTTCTGAGATGTGACATGTTTCACAGGTGTTAACAACTACTTCTTTTACAAAAAACGGGAGCCAGCAGATCACAAATGCCCCCAAGATCAAACCCAGCGTTGTTGCTGCCTTTCGCTCTCTCGTGCTGGAGATTCTCTGTTTTTTCCAGGACTTCTCATGCTTGGATTCAGACCTGGGACTTCGTAGGGTGATGTTGATTTTATCAGAGCTTACCAGGGGATCTGAGGTTTTCTCTGTTGTGCTGGGCATTGAAGCTGATTTGGTGCTTCTTTCACCTGCATCCAAAAGGACTTGTCCATTCACCCCCTCCTCCCTCACGATCCGGCTGACGCTTCTCCTGTGAAATGTCTTTGCTGCTTTGTAGATCTTGTAGTAAAGGATCAGGATCAAGGCCAGTGGGATGTAGAAGGCGCCAAATGTGGAGTAAATGGTGAAAACTATGTGGTCATGTTTGATGATGCATTCATCCTCCCTGCTGGTTGTCTGGTGCCTCCAAAACAAAGGTGGCATGGAGATAAAAATGGATATGATCCATACAACTGCTATCATGATGCCAGCGTGCTTTGGTGTCCTTTTCCGGGCATATTCCACAGCATCCGTGATCGCTCTGTACCGGTCCAAAGCAATGGCAGAGAGGTGCAAGATGGAACAAGTACAGCATGTGATGTCCACGCTCAGCCAAATGTCACACACCACCTGCCCCATGATCCAGGTCTCCTTTACGATGTAGACAATGCTGAAGGGCATCACCAGGACTGCCACAAGGAAGTCAGTCACTGCAAGAGAGCAGATTAGATAGTTGGCGGGGTGGTGGAGCTTTCTTGTCACAATTATTGCAGTCATCACGAGAGAATTGATGGCCGTTGTCATTAGAGCAAGCACAGACAGGGTAATGGAAATGAGAATCTTGGATGTTGCCCATTTGAAAGGTTCTTCTGATGTACTGTTTTGTTCAGTTGAGTTTATTAAATCCATGTTCCCTTTTAAAGATGATCTTTACCCGTAGCAGTTACCTGTTGGAAAAGTAAAAACATTCAGATGTTGCACCCCTGATTTTTGTCATGTTAAAAGGCTGTGGTCCCTAAGCTTACAAGAAGTTCAGACTTATAATTAGAAATTATGCTGGCTCCAAATTCTAGCCTTGTTCCTTGAGTGGCTAAAAATACTTATTTCCCCTCCAGCTAGAAGCACTTTATTATGAATGCTTTGTAGAGGAGTCCTGAAACTGGTTTAATGCAAACAACCTCATCCTAAAGTAAGCCCTATTACTACTTTTAGGCTTGTGCTGTCTGCTCCACTAAGCAATGTAATGACTGTTGAAAACATTAATCCAGCAGGCATAATGCTTATTTTCCCCATATAAACTCATTTTCCCCATCAATAAGTGACTCATTCCTCGTGTATCAGCTAAACATGGGATTTTGTAACTGGGACATAGTTTTGAAGAGAAAATAGAAATGTGAAACGTTGCCATATGCCCTAGAATGACACCATACAAACAGAAGAAAAAAATTGTGTGATGTGTCATTTTACGTCTTCCTCTTACACATCTCTAAAATGAAACAGCTTAATATGTTTTAAAGCTTCATATGGTTCCCTTATTGTCTAATTGAAGTAATATACGTACATTAGAGTCCTGAGAACATCTTTAATTTTCCTCAAGTTTTACTGTTCTGTGGTTTCTGCCAAAGAAAACTGCAGAAAACTTGGATGCTACTTGACTCTCTGCTAATGACTCTCTCTATGGAAATAGCCTAACTCTTCCCATGGCTCTGCAGGAAGGAAAATGCAGAGAAATACTGATGAAACAAGTTCTTGGTGGTGTTCTGGGGATACATTCTTACCAAGAAGAGTTTCTGAGTACCCTGCAGAGTGCAGCTGAATTGGAGTTTCCAGCTTTTATTGTGAATGACAAGCTCTGCTCTAAAGAGGATCAGGTTTCATCCTCTAGTGAGTGTTGACCTGCAATTTCTTATGTAAGATCTACTTGATGAACACCTAAGTGGGGTTATCTCTCTCAGATTTTTGAGTGTAGTGAGTGAGTTGCGCTTGTGTTACATTGGATGCCACATGTAGGGAAATATGTGAAATTAGTGAATAATTTTTCTTTCAGAAATTTGGTTTCATTAACATAACTAAAGCTTTTTGATATTATGCTGGAGTGGCTGAAAAATAATCTTGTTTATAACCTTGGACCCAACTCACTCACTTGGTTTGATATTTTAATGCAGACAGTGCTTAATATGCTACTGACTGCTCAGAAATGTTTTTAGCACTGGTTGACCAACATTTAATTGAATAGAAACATAAGGAAAGTAAATATATTTTATATGGTGATATGCTGAGCAGATACTTGTTCTGTACATGAGCTGATTGCAACGTGTGTGCTTTCTCTGTTCCTATCTCTGAACTTGAAATATACATCACACATGTAAAAATAGATCTTTCATCATGTCAGCGTCACCTTAAAACCTTCTGAATCCACACTAATTTCTGCTTTGCAAATTTTTGTCTATACCTACTTGCCTTCTAGGAAAAGAACAGACACATGTGCTACTATTTGGCGAATGTTCAACCTCTGCTAAATAAATCTTCCTTTTCAAGCTTGTGCATATACATAGGGGAAAAAGTTTATTGGGAAAAAATGAAGATATCTGTTGACATTTTGCAGTTGATCATACTTTAAAACAGTTGCTCATTATGGTTAATCACCTTATAAATGTCTAACTTTTTGGATATTAGTCCTTAATTGCAAGCAAGGAAAAAGCAATTTAGAACTAATGAAAGCTGATTAATCATTTTTGAAAGATTCTTCGGTTTGAAACTGTGGAGTAGGGAAGATAGTATAGGTAGATTTGTAAAAGTGGCATGTAGGAATAAGTAGTTCCCTTAGTGCTGCTGTGATTTGGAGGCTCTTTATGAGAAGCACAGTGGCAGAAAAGTGCACATTTCTGTGCAGTGATTACGACTCTCTGTGTGGAGGCAGAGCCATGCAGAGGGCTGTGCTGCTTAGGACTGCCAGTCACAAAATTTGGTGGCTTTCCTGGCTGAGTGAGGTGGGGATCCTTTTCTAACTGGTGCAGGTTTACTGGGTGCTCATTAACTAAAAAGATTGTTTTATAAATATGTGGAGTTGAAGCATTGGCAGTATTTAAGGACTGCTGCTTCTTTCTCTTTTGATAATGGCCAGAGTGACCTAATTCTGGATTTTTTCTTAAGTGGAACTCAGTTCAGTCAGTTGCTATGGCTGGCTTCTGTCCTCAGCAAGCAACCAACCCACTTTTAGGAGTATAAGTATGATCCTGTAGACAGTGCACTGGATTAGAATGTAGGAGAGCTGGCCTCTGCCCCTCTGCTTTAGCATTTCCTTGTCAATTTGTGAGTAAATTCATTATAGTGCTTCCACTAATTCACTGTAAAACAAGAGGAATTCCCTGGAACATTAGTTTGTTTATTTTTATTGCTTTCTCTTAGTAGCATGATTTATCTCTTGTGGAATGGGTTTAGCAGTGACTATTTTAAGCATGCAGCTGTTTTCAGAATTACTACAGTCCAGATGTTTGTAAGGCTACTTTTGTGAAGTTGGCAACTCAGTACCCTTCTTGTAGAATCTTTCAGCTTATCACTTATCAGTGATGAGCTCAAATTCCATGGCACCTGCTCTTGCTGCAGATGGAAGTTTTGTTTTTTATTATTATTACTTTTTCAATACTCAGCTGTTGTTGGAAAACTCTGGAAAGACTTGAAATTTTGATTGCATTACATTGTCCTGAATTCAAGACTGGTGAAAATGATGTCTTGTACTTAATTAATTATTTATTATTATTTATGATTGTTGAACAAGAGCTCTGTAAACAAAGGAAGCTGCTGTTCACCTAAGATAGCATGCCTCTTATCTTGGACACAAGAATATTATTATTATGGAGGAATTAGCCACTTCTACATATATTTTTTCCTTCCCTTCCAGATCTGGCATATTAAGGCGACCTGAATGTAAATACTTTCTTGCCTGTAAACACGCACATATATATCATCTTACTGATCATGTCTAGAAGGCAGGGGTGAAAATGTTTGTGCAGCTTTATCACAAAGTAAACATTGAGTTTGTCTAGTGGCCACTCAAGAACTATGGATGTTGCTGGTGTTTCAGCTTTTCCTGAGCATGTGTGTGCATTATTAACCCCATAACCCACCATTTGTGACTAAGATTTACAAAATAACAATGTAATTGTTCTTGTTCAATAGCCTTAGTGTGCCCTTCCAGGTTTGGAAAACAGTACTACTCTGCCCTTGAAAACATAAAAAATAATTAAAAATCCCTAATGCTGGAGAAACATGACTGGGAATACCTTTGGGAAAGGCATCAACAGTCTGCTGTTTGGGGTTCTGAATGCAGATTGAACTGCTAGAAATGTACAGCTCTTTATTTCTGGGCCTGTTTTTTTCTTCTTTTTTTTTTTTTTTTTAATATTGCGTTAAGCATTGGAGGGGACAGCACTTGCTGATTAGGGTTTTAGTACTGCTTTTGAATACAGGTTTTCTGGGAGTACTGGGAGGGGTGGGAGAAGGTGTTTGCTTTTTTCCCATGTAGGTTTGTTAGCAAAATGTATCTTAATTAAAAAACAGTTACAGTAATTAGACAGTAAAATAAGCCAGGGATTGAATTGAGGGCATTTAAACTGCTACAGGCAGCAATAGCAACCTTTGTGCTTTAAGTAAACACAAAGTTGTGCCAGGGTAGAGAAAGCTCCTACTTTTTTCCCATCCACCAGACTTCACCTGTCTTTGAAATGAAACACTTCACTTGCCATCAGGTGTCCCTTGCTCTGTTGGCCACTCTGCCCTGCAAGCCAATTGGATCTAAATTTTTTTAATGAGGCTTTAAAAAATTGTACAAATACCTCCTAATGTGACTTCCTAATGTGTGTCTTTAGATATTGCCCAGGTGATGTACTAATGACAATTAGCTTCATCCATCATATTAAGTGTGAGTAGAGGGAAGTATTGTTGCTTTGGATTAAAAGAATCCATTTAAGAAAGATGAGCTTGTACTTGGATCTGATAGGGGATGTGTACTTTGAGCTTGATCTCCCATGTCCCAACAGAGGAGGAAAGGTAGAGGGACACTTTCACCTGATTCTTGGTGTCCTTAAATTCTTTCTTGCCAATAACTCTTCCTAAGGCTCCTAAAGTCACAGTGCCCTGGGAGAAGGCAGGGAAGGTTTGTAAGGGAAGTCCCTTGCCAGCTGAAGGCTTCTGCAGCAAGCCTGCCTTTCCTGAAATGCAAAGTAGATGTCTGTCAGAAGATTGAAGTGCGAAGCAGAAATTATAAGGTTGCCAACTCTCCTTACCCAGTCTGCATTTCTTCATGCTTAAAACCTTGTTTGTTCTTTTTTCCCCCCGTATCTGCAATTTAACTCAGAGGTAGAGTTATTTCCAGTTCTTAATCTGTCAGCAAATATTTGTATATGCATGCTGAATTAATGCTTAAGATTCCCTGTCTGCGTGGCGTTATCCAGTCCATGGGACTGAGCACAGCTTTGACCTGAAATGTATCAGCAACTGGAGGAATTTCTTAAAAGCTGTTTAGTTTTTGCTGTATGACTCTCCACAAACTGGAGTTATTTATAATTTCCACTTGTAAAAGGTCACAACAGACCTAGAAACACAGACAACAAATAACTGCAAAATTACAGGCAAATCAATTGAACTAATATCAACTAAAGATAATGTAGAATTCTGTCTCCCAAGCACGCCTTAGCAGGAAGACGGGCATGCTCTGAATGCCAATATAACACAGGAAGGAAACATCTGAGTCCTGGAGAATAGGTATCTCCATGTCTGAGCACAGGCGCTCTGATTTCTTACAGAATGGCAAAAGAAAGTCCCTTTCTCAGCCTTGAACCTGGATTTGGTGCTTTTTTCAGCTGTGTAACAGTCTTAAAAGTCCTTCTGTTGGCAAAATGATGTGGTGCAGTATGCTTTGTGCCAGGCACAACAAGGATTATGGTGG